GGTCTCCTTAGTGGAGAGATGGTACAAACATTTTAAAACACCAAGAGATTAGAGGGTGGTGTGTTGGAACTGGAGGTTTTTTGGGGGGGGGGGTTAGGTTATTAACTGGTTCTGCTATCGGCTCCTTCCCACCCCACCCACAGTCAATAATACAATAGTAAAAGACTGAGAATCTAGAGTTGACTCCCACTGTCACCTACCCAAAGATGTGGCCTCTGTTTCAAGAGCAGCTTGGTGCTTGGCATGAGTTGAGGACTGGTTGAGGGAAGTCATCCTGAGGCTTTTCATTTCTTCCTTAAATCCTATAATTATCATGACCTGTTCGATCTTCTGAGAGGTAGAAATTAAATATCTGCATCTCCATCTTTATTTCTCTCCTAAGCCGGTGGTGAGATGGCTTTGATTCTGAAAATAAAACCAGAAACTTTGAAGTAAGCCCCCAGAATGGGGATTTGGGGTGGGGGGCGATGCTCTGGCTAAGAGCAAGTTCTATAAAGTCAGTAAACAATTCTAAGGATTGTTGAAGAGGCCACGCAAATGGGTGCAGTGATGATAATGACCACAGACAGGAAGAAAACAACTAGATCGTCACTCAGATACATTGATCAAAAGTTCAAACCCTTTTTAAACACCAAGCTTGCTGTTTGGAGCAGCTCTTTCTTCCTTGTGGGCACTGGGACCAGCTCCCAATAATTGTGCAGCCAAGCGTTCCTTTTTAGTAGCAGATGAATAGGAGGAGACAGGCATGTCAATTTTCTTTTTCCACTTCCAGTAATACATTCCTCTTCCTTAAAAATCTTTATCCCAATGTCAACATGAAAGACAGGACAAATAAAAACACTTTTGGCTCCTGGGACTTTCCTCGCCAAAGAATTTGACCCAATTGTTTGCCTTCGACCCTGTGTAAAAATGAAAAAAAGGTGAGTCTGACAAGGCACCTTGGGGCTTGCTTCAGTCACTGGTGCTATTTTGGCAGTTCATCTAATTGCAAGCAAGGAAGACAGGAGAAGAAAAACAAAGAACCGTTTGTTGCATTGAAGTCGCACGGCTGTCTTCCGAACACCTAAACTGAGAATAGCCAATTGATTCTTATTCTGGCACAGACAATGGTACAATTATGATTATGGATATGTTAATTGGCTGTTTTTATTGGAAAACTAATAAAAATGATTTTTTAAAAAAATTCAGTCAATGAGCCCCATTTCCTTGGGAAAGTGGGAGAGTCAAATGTCTGTTTAATATATTCCACTATATTGGTGTTCTTTCCAAAGACACCAAACTCTCAGAACAACAGACAATGTGTAGCAGGCATATTTGGGGAGCTGAAAGAAACAATACAAACATACCGTTTGCATCAATCCTGGATAAAGTGTGGTTAGTTTTAACTATGCTTGATTAAAACAAACAGTCATTTATGAAGCTGGCTTGATATAGTAAACCACAGCTAAAACTAAACACAGCTTCCAATTTTGACATAATAGCAAACTAAAGTTGTTTGGAAGTACTCACTTCTGTTTTCAGTCTCCTAATGGCTGCACTGGATAAGTTGAGGGGAGAGGGAGCCAGACCTATACATGTTCCACTAAACGATAATTCTGTGTTACATCCAAACCAGGCTACTGAAGCCACACCAGGTAGCATGAAAGGTAGTGGCCACAGGACAACAACTTGATAAACAGTTTGCATTGCAGTTCAAAACAGGCTAGAATCTGGTGTCAGGGATTTGAATTTTCACTGTATTGAAAGGTATTGTCTTAGTTGGCTGCTCTCCTGTCCCTTGGAACCTGACTAGTTATAGTTTGAGTTTTTGAAAGTGCTTCAAAGAAAGTAACAGTAGCTTTCTGTGCTGAGATTTAGAATACCAAGCAGTTTATAAATGTCTGTTTTGATGTGCCTCAATTTTTCTATTAATAATCATGACAAGCAGTAAAATCTTAAAGGAGCTGAATTTCTAAATACACTGCAGAATTTCCACTCAGGTATCCTTGGTTTTGCATTGGGAATTCTTTTCACGATTTTCTGTCATCTTTGAAGAGTTATAAAGATTCAGAAATTAATGTCAGATTAGTATTCCATCAGAAATACTTATTTGTACAAGGGCTTCTGCTATTCCATCTCATCCATTGAACCAGCTTTGATCTTGGTCCCTGATTTTAATGACTTTTGTCCACAAGTTATATAATAAGCAGTCGTGTTCTCCTTTTGCTACCTTAATTTCCACTGGTCTAACAGGTAAATGAAAGAACCTGTTAGCACTTGTATATATGCATGCATTAAAACATATACCCTTCCATTGGGCATCCATTGAACCAAAGTATTGTTGTTAAAAAAATAGCCATGCATACCTGGAATACAGCAGTGACAAAGCAGTAAAGACCTCATTCATCTGATTTTATCATGTACAGAAATATCTAGGTGGGATCCGGGTGATTCGTCTCTTCTGTCAAGACAGGGCTTAGCTGCTGATGATGTGTAAAATACGATGACAGACATTTTACTCTAAGTGAACTGAATATTTCAGTCATACTCAGTTATATCCGTATTAAATCCCATTGATTCCTGTGGGAGATATATACAGGCACACACATACTTCCACTGTCACTCAAACACAGTCATACCAGGCAAAGCATATAATAGCATGATTATAAGGGTATGTTGTAAAATATATCCTCGTAATACTAACACTAATTATGTTAGGCTTATTAATGGTGTTGTGTTGACATGTTCTGTGGCATCAGCATATTATCAGATCATTTACTTAATGCTTATATGTTTTGTCATTTTAGAATTAAATGTTACAAGCAATTCAACCAAAATTATTTGGCTGGTGGCCCAAAATTAAGATAAGGAATCTAGACCTGCTGCCTTCCCACCAAATCTTCAACTTCTGTTCTCCCTTCAGTTCTAGCCCATGTTATCCCAAACTGCAAAATTCTCTTGGCTATCCTGGCCTCATTTTCTCAGCCTAATGCATACTCTGTCATTCCCCGTCAACTTCTTTCATCATTTGTTACTTCAGATCGCTCTTTTGTATGCTGTCATACACGTGGCCCATCTTCCACTCAGCTTCCCAGTCCTCAGCCTTCATACCTGAATTGCACTCCTACATCCCTCCTCTCTCGTCTGCTTTCTGGCAACAGCACAAAATGCCTCCAGTCCCACTTTCTGACTGGCTAAAATTTGTGTCAACTTCCTGTTCCTTTGCTTTCCACTTTAGGCACTGAGTTTAGTGGGGAGGGGAAAGTCCTAGGGAGATTGTTTCCTCCCCAACCCCTTCCCATAATGTAGGGTTGCCATATTTTGAAGAACAAAAAAGAGGACCCCCCTCTCCCCAAACAAAGCTGCCTCTCATGACCCTCATGCCCTCTGCTTTCCTACCCCGGCCATGTCGCCTCTTGCAAAGGGAGACCTTGCACGCTCACCTGCTCTGCCACAGCTCGGAAGAGGCACGACCCGTCCTTCGCCACTTGCTTGCAGTACAACCCCTGAGATCGCAGGCAGGCCTCCATGGAGGAATCCACTGGGGCCTCCGCGCCGGAGCCCGGGGGGCTCTGCTCCTCGCCACCTGGCTTCTCTTCTGCAGCACCCTCCATGTTTATTTATGGCTCCAGGGATTGCAAGGAAATTGCTGCTTCCCCACATGCTTCAGAAGAAAGTGGGAGAGATGCAGTGAAAGCCCCTTGTTCTGGGGGTGGCTGGCAGCACAGCGCAGCAGGAACCAGACTCGCATTCACGGGTCACCCATGTGGCTTCTGTGAGATGCCCCACTTGCACCGGGCGGCAGCGGCGTCTGCCGCTTCTTGCTCGCCTTTTCCGCTGAAGTTTCCTGGCTTCAAGCCCGGCGCGGAGAACTTGCACGCTCCTCCTGCTGCCTCGCTTGGGAAGGCGGCTCTCGCCCGCTCCCTTTACGCATCACTGGGCTCCAGAAGCAGAAACAAAAGAGCCAAACTCTCTCTCTGTCTGGCTTCTGCCTGCTCTCACCTCTCTAGCTACCTATGAGTTGAGGGAAAGGACCCCACCCATTTGCTATCTCAAAAAGAGCCACCAGAAAGCCTCATAACAATATCCTTCTTACATTCTTCATCAGCCAAGTTGCTTGGCTAGCAAGTTCAGTGTCCTTTATTTGGCAGCACATCTTGCAAAACTCAGTATTGTGTGCAGATTAATTGCTGCGGTCATGAATAAATCTGACCAGTATTGAAAACTGCAGTACATTCATTTAGTGACACAGGAGGATATTCACTGGCAGTTGCAGATACTTTCTGCTAGGAAGTTAAGACTGATATTATAAATACAATCTGCAGAACTATTTGGCATTACATAATTCAGCCATTCCCAAGCTGTGCTGACTAGGGCTGAAGGGATTTTTATACAAAACATCTGGAGGGCACCAAGTTTGGAAAGACTGACCTAATTTCATGTTTTGCAATGGCAGTGTAAGTGGGATGGCTGGTTTTCTTCTTTTTCTCATTTAAAGCCATTACACCTTAATAAAAATAATTAGTCGCCTTATGTGCAATGTGTTAGAAAATACAAGTAGGACCTGCAATAAGATGTTTCATAGTTTTCCTCACACCCTAAAAGAGTAGCTCCTGTTTGGGGTTGCAGCCAGTCATGCTCTCCTCCAGGACACTTCAAAGAGCTCAAGCAGACCAAATTCACTTGCCCACCGAAGTTTTACATTTGTCTTTTTGAATATGCAACTTCCCCTGGCTCCTAGAGGTCACCTCTAACACACCATTTTAGATTTTAAAAACATTTTGTTACTTCTGCATGCCTTGGGGCTTGCCTAAGGAGGCAGAAGCCTCCCTCCTGTTTCTCAGCAACTCTGTTTTGGCTCCAATCCTGGTGGCACTGAGTAGTAGAACAGTAATAGAAATGAGAATAGTAATGCAGGCAAGGTAAATGAAAGAAATAAGAATCACAGAATCAAAGAATTGCAGAGTCGGAAGGGACCACAAGGGTTATCTAGTCCAACGCCCTGAAATGCAGGAATATTTTGCCCAACATGGGGCTTGAACCCACAACCCTGAGATTAAGTTTCATCCTCTACCAACTGAGCTAATCCTTCATTTTCCCATTGCCTTACCCACAATCTAAGCTGGGAAGTGGGAAGGACAAACTGAACATTTTTCTAACCCTCCAAAATCACACCTTAATTTTATCAGCAAGGTCTTTCTTTGCTGAGTAGCATGCAAGAATCTGTGGCGCTGACTCTGCAGGGAAGGTTGCCCTAAGTATGGTCTCTTCTTGAAAATGTTGAGATCTGTATAAGGTTACAAGAGGGCTCTGTATAGTTCCTGTAGACAGGCAGCACTCTGGGACACAACAGGGAACTGGAGAATGGTGTGCATCCTCTCTTATCTTTGCACTGTTCTACTTGAGCAATACTGCCTTATTCAGGGGAGAAAGAGAGATCTAGGTGGAAATATAGGATGCCCAGTCCCTGACTCCTGCAGTTTAAAAAATGATCAGACAGCCAATGACAGGAAAGAACCTGAGACTTTGGAGAGCCACTGTTGCTGTGTACACACTATAACTTAAAGCACATTCTTTCAAAGCACATTCTTTCTCTCAAAGCATTCTGGGCACTGTCATTTGTAATGGTTTTCTGGGAATTGTGAGGAATAAATGCTCTCTCTTTCTGTTTGTGTGCAGTTAAAAAGGTAACATCATTTAGAGCAAATATTCAGATAATTCCTAGAACTTCACTATCCCACATTATGGTTAAGTGGCTTGATGACAGAGTTAGGCATCATTTTCATAAACAGACTCAGGGATTTAAAAAAACAACAACTGCTCCCTAGCTTTGCCTCAGTATTGATTTTGCAAATAAATTTACATTTGCTTGATTGCTTTTAACATTAATTTAAAGTTCTTGAAATAACTCCATTGCAGAAAGTACTTATGGAGAACTAACTCCAGGTTTGAGGAACCCCTGTGGAAAGTGCCCTGGGAAGAGCCCCATCTCCTTTGAGCAGCAGTGCCCCAAACAATGCCAGGTAGATGACTCTAGCATTCGTTTAAGTTTCCCACAATGCCCTAGTGATACCACACCAGAGGCATTGTGGGAAATTTGGGTAGTGACCCAACTGCTGGGATTGTCAGGCCTCAGGGATATGGATTTAAAGGGAGTCCTAAGGCACACAGCAGCAGTGGGCCCTACTGGTGTGCTTGGGCCACTGCCACCAAAGGATGCCAAGGGCTGGCAGTTGTCAAGGGATCTTGATAAAGCAGAGACTAAATAGAGGAAAGCCAGGTCATCAGAAGCCGAAAAGTGGAAACCCTTTTGGTGGCTATGACTCGTTTTTGGATCTCCAGTGAGAAAACAAAGCACCATAAATGTGAAAGTTCACCCTCCATTTCAACGCTGGAAGATGCTCTGCATGCATCATTGCATCAGAGCTCTGTGGAGCTTTCCACTGTTCCTCAATGTTTTGAAACCATGCATTTCCCCACTGACTCCACTTCATAGCATTTCAGGCTTGCTCTGTTCCCTTGCATGGGGCTTCCATTAAGAGCTTCCAACCCATGGCTTCATCTTTAATGTGCTAAGAAGTATCTGTGAGGGTTAATTCCCTGCTGGAGGCTTGCTTTTTTCATTCATTTAGAACACCTTTAAATATGTGCGATATTTTCTTATTTGGTATGCAGACTAGCCAAAATAGCTTTATTTAGCATAGATTTGTTTATATTGCGGCCATCTTTGTTGTTGGAATACCTAAGTGTTGCCTTATTCGCCTATTAAATGCTATTTTATTTGTTCCTAACTTCCCCTGTTTAACAGCAGACAAACCCAGGGAGCACTGAATGAGTCGGATGATCCCGAGACAGGCTGTCTAACTGATAACAAGCCAACTTCTCGTCACTTCTACCCTGTCGCCTTGCTCCTTGTCAGCTCGCATTTGCTGGTTGTGTGGCTTATTTTAAGTCTTGCTTTATTATTAGCCAAATATCAGTAAATTTCACTTCTGTCCATTTCTTTTCTATGAACAGCAACAGCTTAAGATTAAAAATTGTGCTGTATGATTTCTACATTTTCAGACCCACAAATTTGACCTCAAGAAGGCAATGTCTTGAACTGTAGAAGATTTTATTTCTATTTCCAGAAATCAAGAAAGCATACTATGCATCAAGTGATTTAATCTGCTTTCTATTCCGAGCAAATCTTTTCACACATTAAGAATGGCCATTATATTAGTGTTTCTTGATCAGATGAGATTTTGCCATTAAATTGGAAGGATCTCTCCTCTCCCCCCCCCCCACTCCCCGCTTTTTACAAAACTCGTACTTAGGACCAATTCAACTCCTTATGGAGTGATTTTACTGTCTCATTTTTACTTGGGGACCCATTTGCAGAAATCTTCACTTCTTTTCCAGCATGCACAGCCCCACACTTAAACATTGCCAAGGTTTAGCACACCAGAAAGTATGGTTTTAGCTGACATGGGCCCTTTGCCATTTTCACTTGGGGGAGCTCACATCAGACAAAGGGTTTCTTATTTGGAAATGCAGTGGTAAAATTCACATTGCAAAGACAGTCACATGTTTGTCTGTGGTGATTATCAGTCCTTAGTCAAAATATGGGGGGAGGGGGGAATTAAATCTGTACTCATAGAACTCAACCCAAGCTGAATTATTTGGACAGGTCAGTTTGAAAGATTAATTTTCCATGTGCTTTTTTTCATTGTTACTTCCTGATAGGAGTTCCTGTTTTAGCAAATAGTTCACTCTTTTATTTGTTGCGACTAACCCTTTTCTGTCAAGCCGTTCTATGGCACTTGATAAGTTCTGTTTTGTAACAAAATTAACCTGTTTGTAAATGTTGCTTTGGTTGCTTTTGCTTTATATTCATTTAAACAAAAGTTTTGTTTGCGTCTTGATGCACCATGTTGGCTCTTGTGACTTTTGTACTGTGTATGAATGAGCATCATTCTTTTGAAAGCAGAGAGTTGTTGGATCAGGCTATTGGAAAGCCATTTTCTATTTCCTTCATTGCAAAGCTAAACAGAATGAAAATAAGACAAAGACGGAAGTTTCCTTTACAAATCTGTAGGGCCAGACTTAATTAAAAATGCCTTATTCCTAGAACCTGCACACCTAAGGCTACATGTGAACTCTGACATGTACAACAGAAGCAAAACAAAGCGAATCTGAAAAAAAAAGTTATTAAAGAATTTTTAGAAGCAAATATATTTCTAAGGGTAGAGTAAAATATATCATAAAGTATTTAATCAAACCACAGTGAGAGATAAATATATATAAATATATATATATATATAAAACCCACACTCTACTTCTAAGGGCAATAACTGTATTGGGCCTGGCCTTGGATCTAATTTTGTAAGATGTATCATCACTTGTGGAAAATATATTGTAGAATTGAATCTCCATTATTTTTACTTCAATTGTTGCTGAAACTCTGCAATGTACAAATAAAACATATTTATTTATTTATTGTTTCACGCAGTTGTCTTTTTTCCCTCCCTTTTCACCAGAGAAGGATGCCGCATAGAGAATGTACTGAAGAATATCAAATGCAGAAAGTATGCTTTCAACATGATACAGCTGATGGCTTTCCCAAAGTTCTACCGACCACCAGAGGGAACATATGGAAAAGCTGACACCTAAGCTTTAGACACAACACAAAAAAGGCTGTGTGTGCAGGATCACACACCTGTGCTCATTAGTTAACACAAAATTGCTTTGTGCGTCTCACAGATTGGGCATACATGAGAGGGAAAATATCTAGGTTCTCCCCCAACTGTACTGTCAATCAAAAGGAAACATCGATAAAATATGGTAGATTGAGTGTTCTGGCAACCAGCTGTTTGATAAATAAAAGCCTAATAATAATAATAATAATAATGATGATGATGATGATGTAGGCTGTATTTCATAAGCCCACCAGAATTAAAGGTTTGGTCACTAGTCAGATAGAAGGCCAAATGTTGAGTCAGTAGGGGTCACTCTGAGCCTGGACTTGAAAATAAATCCCACTTCTATACAAAGCAACATTGAATTGCCTAAGATACTGTCTACTGGGTTAAGGGCAAAGCTAAGGTGCTGCTCAGCTGTGGTGCATAAGACCCATGATACGTTTAGAAAAGGAATGTTAATATTGGTGACCTTGCATTAGTAAATATTTGCTGCATTTCTGGATAAACTTTGCAGTTCCAGCTACATACATTGTTACTGCAACAACAAAAAACTAAGTTAACACACTGGTCTAAGCCTTGGGCTTTAAGCCATGTAATGTATTACAGTTGCCTTGAAATCAGGATCTGGGGTTTTACCTGGCATTCTCAGTGGTGTTAAGCGACAACCTGTGTAAGTAATTATGAAACAAGGATGGCCACTGGAGTCTGTCCATAGCTGTCAACCTTCCCTTTTTTTGCGGGAAATTCCCTTATTCCAGCGCCGTTTCCCGCTGCTTGTCCCCGGGACAGGTGAGGCTGCTTATCCCTTATTTTCAAATCTGAAAGTTGACAGCTATGAGTCTGTCCTCTGTGCACTCTGAAAGTACCAAGAGGGAAAGGAGATTCAACTAGTGGTTATAATAAATGTTCGTATGTAAATGACAGTGATAATAATTTATTAAAATTGTAACCTGCAGAATCAAAACGATCAGGGTAAAGAACCTGTAACCTATTGCCGTGCGGTTAAAGCTATATAAAAGGCTAAGGCCAAAGAACAACTCTTCAATCTGAAATGTATCACTTGTGAACGTTAATATGAAACCTAAAGGAGAGTGCCATTTTCAAATCAAATGTAAATACTACCCCAATATAAGTTTTACATTTGAATGGAAAGGGCTGGGAATTGGGGGGGGGGAGTAAATAGATAAGAACAATTTAAGAAAATTAAGATATGTTGCTATAAAGATGATCAGTGAGTTTAGGCAGATTGTACTACTGCATTAAATCTCTGCATTTGAAACAATGAGGTCTCATTGTATGTACATTTCCACTGTTCTACTGGCAAATAAGAGCAACGACAGCCTGGGCAGGAAGATAAGTTTTAAACAGCTGAAAGTACTAGAGAACTTCAGCAAAATGGATTGGATC